TATAATGTAACAATCAATTTAATATCTACAATTAATAACATTGGTTTTATTTTTTGAAACAACAATACTTTTATAATATTATGGAGTACAAAAAGCTTTTTTTTTTATCAGCCAAGCAAACATACTATATATATTAAAGAAGGAGCATAAGAAATACTCCCAAAAACAGAGTACAGTCCGGAGAAATCAAGGAACACAACCCAGTTTACCTACTACATTCAAGAAACATAAAATCTGTTCCAGTAAACTTAAACGGCCTGCACACCCAAAAACATCACCCTGTCCTAGAATCCATACAACAGAGTAAAAGAGCAGATTGTATACCTCCCCCCCGTTAGCTAGGGGCCCCTATTGCCTTCGATAATTGCTTCCTCATCCTTTTATGCCGTTTGACAGCCTTTGCACATTCCATCGGACAAGATTGCCATTCATAAAAGGAAAAAACGCATCCCTTCACTTTAGACTTCAACCATAAGAAGGTTTTTACTTGCACCCTTTCTAGCATATTCTCTGGAATTCCTTCATCTTCTCGAAATATCTGAGTGTTCCTTCTATACCACACATACCAAGCAGCTGCCAGAAAAACAAAAAAGCCCATCTCCTTTCCTGCTGTACTGCCCAACACATCTATGAAAAAATCTGCCACTCCCCTAACTGTATTGGGTAAAACACTCTCCAAACCCCACCAATTCAACACCTCAACCCACACTAACCACGCTTTATAACATACACAAAATAAGTGATTAGCTTCCTCCACTATCCCACTACAAAAAACACAGTAAACACCTTCCTCTTGCAATTGCACCCCACGCTTTTGAAGATTTACTTTAGTTGGAAGTCTATTTAAGCACAAACGCCACCCAAAAAAAGCAACTTTGGGTGGAACCAAACGGCACCATATTAATTTTTCCTCTGTTCCTCCAATACTCCTTCCATAGAATCTAGATAGTCGTAGGCTATCTTTACAACATATCTGCCATCCATCGAATGCCTCCACTTCCAAACATCCCCAACCCCCTCCTTCACTTGAACACCCTCCAGCGCCCTCTCCAGCACCACCTCCTCATCCTTCTCACGTCCTATGGTACCTCTCCTCCACTCAACACGCCAACACCATCTACCCTCGTTCCAACTTCCCATTTCATTAACCTTTCCTTCCTTCTTAACCGATAGAGCATATAATCTTGGACATAAGTCCCTAAGCGTTTTTTCTCCGACCCACCTCTCTAGCCAAAAATCCACCTTATTTCCTTCACCCACTTCCCACTTGAATCCCTCCACTAGCATATTCTTTAGTCTCGAAGATTGACCCCCCATTCTAATAATATCCCTCCACAGCTTTGACACCCTCGGGCCTTCAATCGTTGTAATATCGACCTCACTCCTTCCTCCATAATATTTCTCCCTCACCACCCTTTTCCATAAGTTCTCAACCCCATCACCGAATCTATACCACCACTTTCCTAACAAAGCCCAATTTTTCCTACGCATATCTGGCACCCCTAAGCCTCCCTTCACCTTATCATGACAAATACATTCCCATTTCACCCAAGAAATCTTTTTATTTAAATCTGGCCCACCCCATAGGAATCTCCTTTGTATACTAATTAGCTCCACCAAAACAGACTTTGGAAGTATATACAGAGACATATAAAAAATAGGTAACGCTGAGAGTACCGATTTCAGTAAGGTTAGGCGACCTCCAAAGGAAAGAGTTGAAGCCTTCCATCCAGCCAGCTTTGCACGAAATTTATTCACCACCGGCTCCCACACCTTCTTTCTTTCGGATTTACTGCCTATGGGCAATCCCAAATAAAGAAAAGGTGTTTGACCTACTCCACATCGTAGCGTACCAGCAGATCCCTTTAACCATCCCTCCGACACATTATATCCATAGATACTGCTTTTGTTAAAATTTATCCGCAAACCGGACATAAGTTCGAACCATCTTAAAACATCCTTCACCATTCGAATATTCTCCGCATCCGCTCTGCCCATAATTATTGTGTCATCGGCGAACTGAAGTAAAGACATGGTCATCCCTTTCTTTCCAATCTCGATTCCATGAAGCATTCCTTCCGCCACTGCCTTCTGTACCAAGCCTTGTAACCCCTCACCGATCATCAAGAAAAGAAAAGGAGATAAAGGATCCCCTTGACGTAATCCTTTACCTACCTCAAATTCCCTTGTCGGGCTTCCATTTACCAAAACCGAAGTTCTCGCCGTTGAAAGGCACTCCTTAATCCATCCTCTCCACTTTGTTCCAAACCCAAAAGTATCCATCATCCAGTCCAAAAATGACCAATCCACGCAGTCATATGCCTTTTCAAAATCTGCCTTGAAGACAAAAGCTGGCTGTTTCCTGTTCTTTATCTCCTCTACTACTTCATTCAACACCAATACACTATCAACCAATTGGCGTCCCCCCACAAAAGCGGATTGGGTTTCACTCACTATTGCTGGCATCACCGATTTCAATCTATTAGCCAATACTTTTGCTAATAGCTTATAAACACATCCTAACAAGCTAATTGGTCTATACTCCTTTAAATTTGCAGCATTCAATTTTTTAGGGACCAAAGCCAAAAAAGAAGAGTTTAGACCCCTCACCAATTTTCCATTCCGGTGGAATTCCGAGAAGAAACTAATGAAGTCTTCCTTAATGCATTGCCACGCAAATTTAAGAAAATTGAAGTTGTACCCATCCGGTCCCGGAGCCTTTGAACCGTCACAGCTCCTTAACCCTTCCTCAATTTCTTCAATCGAAAAAGGTCTTTCTAGCCATTCTTTTTTCGCCTCTGAGATCTTTTGAAATTTGATACCCTCGGGCTTGGGTCTGTTCCATGGGTCGCCTTTGAACAAATTCCTGAAATATTTGACAATTTCGTCTTTGACTGTTTCTGGATCTTCAATCCACTCCCCTTCACGCATTAAGCCAGCAATATTATTTTGTGCCCTTCTCCCGTTAGCCACTTTATGGAAGAAACGGGTATTCGCGTCGCCCTCTCTTATCCATCTGCTCCTTGACTTCTGCTTCCAGATTAGTTTCCTTCTTCGCAAAACATCCCACATCTCAGAGAAACCTTCTTGCCTTTTAACAATTTCTAATTCCTCCAGATCCGCTACTTCATTCTGCATATCAACCTGCTCTATTTTTTTAACAGCCTGTGCATACTGGGCTTCCATATTTCCGAATACATCCTTGTTCCAACCTTTTAAGAACTCTTTCAACAGCTTTAACTTTTGTTTACATTTGTACCCTGCAAAACCCTCCACTACCATCTCTCTCCACTTATCTTCTACTACCTTCTTGAATCCAGGATGTTGTTGCCATGCATCTAAGACTCTAAAAGGCCTTGGTCCCCAGTCTGTTTGTTTAGACTTCAACACCATTGCACAATGATCATAAATGTTTCTTGGCAGCCCCTGCTGTATCCATTCTCCTCCACTATTATACATCTCAGAACTCATCAAGAATCTGTCTAGTCTGCTTCTTGCTGTTCCATCTGGTTTATACCAAGTATATCGTCTATTTGTCAATTTAACATCCACCAGGCTTGTTACGATGAACTCCTCAAAATCCCTCATACCTGAACACACCCCTGTTTTCCCTCGCCTCTCCTCAGGCCCTCTGACAGCATTAAAATCCCCTGCAATCAGCCACCACCCTTCTTTGTGTATCATCCTCATCCTCAGCTCCTCCCACAGCTTAACCCTATTCTGTCTATCATTGGAGCCGTACACATTTATTAAGCTGCACTATTGTTTATTTGCTCCCCATTCCCCTGATATTCCCACATACCCATCCCCTGAAAACTCTTCACGCTTAACAAAATTCCTTCTATCCCATAAACATAGCAGACCCCCTGATGCTCCAGCGGATGCCTTCGCAACCCATTCGAACTCATCAGAGTTCCATACCAACTTGCAAATGCCCACATCAATCCTCTCTAACTTCGTTTCCTGCAAGAATAGGAAGTCCGGCCTTTCCTCTCTTGTCAGCTTTCCTACTTCCTTCCTCTTCACTATCCCACCCAAACCCCTCACATTAAAGGAAATAATCTTCATTTAAACAAATATGGACACACAACTTCACCTCTCTCACCCACACCTATACCCCCAACCCGTCTCTCCTCCCTGCCCTTTCTCGATCCTCTGCCTCCATCAACCTAGATTGTAATTCCTCATCATTATCTTCAAATTGGGTCCCCAACCTCTTACCCACCCTCATCATCCGGCTCACCTCCTGCAGATTCAACTCCCTTTGTATCACCCTATTTCTATTTACGATATCCCCATCCGAAATAGACAAACTATCCTCTATGCATACCTTATCTTCCTTTGCTCTTCGAACATCCGCCCTTCGAATCTGTCTCTGTCTTGATCTGGGTGTCACCAGCGCAGTCCCCTTCGCCCAGATCTCCTCCATGCTTTCTGGGTAGCACATTTGGAGAAGACGCTGCTTTTTGTTCGTTGATGGTCTATTTTCTGGGTTCTGCGATATTGATGCTGCTACCGGGTTTGGGGTGTTTAAAATAGGCCCTTCTAAACTTATTTCTTTT